AGCTAATTGGATAGAACAGTTGCTGGATGGAAGAAAGCAGAGGTTGTTATAAATATAGTTCAGTCAAACTGGATTAATGTTACAAGTAGGCTATCTTAGGGCTCAGTCTTAGGACCTTTGCTCTTTTTGTTTTACATCAATAACATAGATGAAGGAATGGTCAATACATTGGGTGTTGCTAACTGTGAAGAGGATACTGCTGATTTACAAAAGGATTTAGATCATTTAGTTAGTTGGGCAAATATATGGCAGGTAGGTTTTGATTATAATAAATGCAAGATAATGCATGTGTGTTATCATAATTTGGATGAGAATAACCATAACAGTGTCATGAAAGTAAGGGATCTTAATGTAATGGTCTCTTAAGCCATCCAAGCAGTGTGCTGTTTCTAGTAATAGGGCAAATGGGATTTTAGGTTTTATCTACAGAAATATTGAATACAAGTTTAAAGAGGTTATAATTTCATTGTACAGGTCACTGGTTGGGCTACATTTGGAGTTTTGTGTTTAGTCTTGGGCTCCTTACTTTAGGAAGGACATAATTATTGGAAAGGGTTCAGAGGAGGGTTACTAGAATGGTGCCTGGGATGGAGGGGTTATCATATGAAAAGAAATTAAGATCTCTGAAATTATTTTCTCTTGATAAAAGAAGAGTTAGATGGGATCTGACTGAAGTATTTAAGATTGTAAAGGGAATTGATAGTGCTGATGCTTCATCTTTTTTCATACTTAATGGAGACAATAGTAGGACTAGGGGATACAAATATAAATTTTGACAAGGTAGGAGTCATCTTCAGCTACGACAGTCTTATTTTTCTAACAGAGTGATTGGCCTCTGGAATGGGTTGCCATCGGATGTTGTGGAGGCAGTAAGTTTAAGAGAAAGTTTGATAACTATATGAATGATAAGGTTGGCTTTAAACTTTTTGTTTTAATATATTTATTTGATAGCTTAGTTTAGAGGATGGAACAGCTGAAATGGACCAATAGATTCCTCGTTGTCCCTAAACATTAGGTTATGTTATAAGACATTCACATCTAAAAGCTCTTCAAGTGTGTTTGGTAGCTCCACGTCTCGAATCCGAGACCCTCGAATCATCAGTCCAACACCCTTTATCACTAGGACACTTTGGGCTGTCATAAAAGTGACAATCAATCCCGTTACTGGGTTCAAGTGCCGGACAGCGCCCTTGTGGTGACAGGTGCTGCTGGCTGGCTGCCTTCCCTCTGGCCAGTAGTTCCAAATTAGGATGGCTATACCTTATATCCTAGGAGTATCTGGCCCGGCCATTTTGTCCATATCCTTTCAGGTTGAAAGTGACAGTTCCTTTGTTTTCGGATTTAACAACCCCACATCAATTCTCCTCTTACAGACCAAGTTACGTATACTAAGAACATTACCATATATTCTAAGAGTAATTTGAATTTGTATAAGATTACATGTATAAGAAATCTTTTATTTTTGAAAATAAACACGAAAGATTATATTCATGAAAAAACGAACCGCGTGAAAACAATGTGCAAAAAACCAAACACGTAAAGTTCATGTAAAAGTGAAATAGACATAAAGCTAATATACTACCATCCGTCAAGTACTGATATAAAACCAAAGCAGAAAAAGGTATATAGTAGAAGGGAGAAGGATGACTATTTATAACGTAAGTGTAAAGACTTATGATATATCCAATTCATGATTGCTGCTTGTGGATTATTTGCCAAATAATTATATATAAAATTTAATCATATGCTACGAAAGAAGGTAAAGTAAAAAAAAAAATGTCTTCTAAACTTTAGTTTATTTTGGACGATCATTCTAAAATACAACCTTGGCATGTAAGTGGTATATAAACTCTTCATTACTCAACTAGAGGATTTTACCTCTTGTTGACTGTTTTAATTGGACGAGTATTCTTGAAGTACAACCTTGGCTCGTAAATGGTATATAAACTCCCCATTACTTAACTAGAGGATTTTAACTCTAGCTAACTGTTTTAATTGGACGAGTATTCTAAAGGATTTTAACTCTAGCTAACTGTTTTAATTGGACGATCATTCTAAAATACAACCTTGGCATGTAAATGGTATATAAACTCTTCATTACTCAACTAGAGGATTTTAACTCTAGCTAACTGTTTTAATTGGACGATCATTCTAAAATACAACCTTGGCATGTAAATGGTATATAAACTCTTCATTACTCAACTAGAGGATTTTACCTCTTGTTGACTGTTTTAATTGGACGAGTATTCTTGAAGTACAACCTTGGCTCGTAAATGGTATATAAACTCCCCATTACTTAACTAGAGGATTTTAACTCTAGCTAACTGTTTTAATTGGACGATCATTCTAAAACACAACCTTGGTTCTTAAATGGTATATAAACTCTTCATTACTTAACTAGAAGATTTTAACTCTAGCTAACTGTTTTAATTGGACGAG